AGTAGATTGGTGGCAGACAAGACTTGCTGGCAACTGGAGGTGAGGAGGCAGGACCACAGTAGATGAAATTGCCAGTGAGTGCCACTCTGATCCCACATGCCACTGATCAGTTGACTTCATGTTAATATAAATGGGTGGCAAAGTATAACAGATTTTATACAACTTATGGCTGCAATTTGACAATACCAGTTTAAGAGGAAAAACACTTCTTTAACACTAGAATAGCATAAGACTTTCTCATTCATGCATTGGAGGTGAAATGAGGACATCATGGTGACATGGCAGAAAAAGATGTTGCCAAGTGTCGATAGCTAGGGAGATCATCTTGGAGAAAAAATTCATTTCCTAATGGAGTCCATTAGGGAAACAACAGATACAGAAGAAACATGGCGTAAGTCCAGAGAGGTGGACTCAGACTTGCCCACCCTGCTCCCATGTCCCTGGAGTATAAGAAGGAGAAAAAGGAAAACACCTTTACTGAGATATAGCCCTGTGGAGTCTTCCTGTGGAGTCTGTATCCTGATCTGGTGTACTTTAGGGTTAGGGCTGACACCAGCTCACGTTGTAACATAGTTGGGTGCAAGTGGTTAAAAGCCCAGAGAAGTGTTAAATTTCACTAAGGACACTGCTGGAGAGAAGAAACAAACAAATATATAGCATGTGTTCCCCATTTGTAGAAATATAACTGCTTTTTTGTTTGCCATAATATGATTATTTCTACTTTCAGCTTATATTGCCTTCCAATTCTCAGAGTTTTCAGTATTCATAAAATGATTATATTTTATGAGCAATACAAATTCTAGAACAATTAGTGTACATTAGCAAAATATTTGTTGACATCTTATAAATATTTTTCTTGTTTTCAAGAACATTTGGAATCTTAGGGACTAACATTACCTTTCAATTGTGTTTTGATTAAAAGTTTAAGAAAGAGTACTTCATAAATATTCTAGGCTTTGTTGCAAGTGTTTATTCCTCTTTCCCCACATGAAGATCTTGTAAAAAAAAGACACTAACCTAGATTTTTTTTAAAAGCCAAGTTACATATAAAATAATAATAAAAAGCAACATTAAAAGAGAGTAACAGAGCAATAAATATTACTATATATTATACAAAATTATATATAAGTTTTCCCCCTTAAACATTAAATGTGCAATCCTGTACATTAATTTATAGCACTGAATGCAGTCCTACAGAAAGTTAATCTTCAGCTGCTGGATATAGGATTTCAGCCTTAAAGTAACTAACTGAAAAAAAGCTTGATAGCCCTCTTCTGGGATTCTCCCATAAATCATCATCATCATCATCCCACTTTCAGTGATTTTGAAGAAAACTAATCTTGGCTATCAAACAGCAAAAAATGCTAATAAAATCTCACATTTGCTTTACATGGATGATCTGAAGCTTTATAGCAAATCAAAAATCAAAATCCAGTCATTGAGAAATACTGTAAGAATTTTTAGCACAGATATAGCAATGGAATTTAGCCTAGAGAAATGTGCTACGGTAGCAATAAATCAGGGTAAAATCACAAACAGTAATGGAATTGAAATGCCGAGAGGCCAAACCGTTAGGAGCCATCGGGATGAAGCCTATAAGTGTCTGGGCATTTTACAGTTGGATAACATCAAGCATGGACAAGTTAAAAATGTGATTAGTAAAGAATACATCCAAAGAGTGAGGAAATTGCTAAAGACAAAATTGAACAGTGGAAACACCGTCAAAGCCACCAATACTTGGGCCATACCTGTAACATCAAGCATGGACAAGTTAAAAATGTGATTAGTAAAGAATACATCCAAAGAGTGAGGAAATTGCTAAAGACAAAATTGAACAGTGGAAACACCGTCAAAGCCACCAATACTTGGGCCATACCTGTTTTACAATACACTGCTGGAATTATTAACTGGACACAAGCTGAACTGGACAATTTGGACCAAAGAACACTGATGACTATTCACTATGCATTACATCCCTGTAGTGATACTGATAGATTATACCTGCCCTGCAGAAATGGAGGCAAAGGTTTACTTCAGGTCAAACAAACTGCTGAAGAAGAAAAGCATGCATTAGCTGATTATATAAAAGACAGGCAAGAACAAGCACTGATGCAAGTTAAAAATTGGAACTTACTGAATGTACAGGAAACAAAATGTGAATATCAAAATAATGTAATAAAACACAAAATAGAATGCTGGCAAGGAAAAGCATTACATGGTCAATTTCTACAAAAGATCGAGGGGAAAGTGGATAAAGATAAAATCTAGCAACGGCTTACAACTGGAACATTAAAAAAAGAAACTGAAGGCTTGATTTTGGCTGTTCAAAAATGTGAATATCAAAATAATGTAATAAAACACAAAATAGAATGCTGGCAAGGAAAAGCATTACATGGTCAATTTCTACAAAAGATCGAGGGGAAAGTGGATAAAGATAAAATCTAGCAACGGCTTACAACTGGAACATTAAAAAAAGAAACTGAAGGCTTGATTTTGGCTGTTCAAGAGCAAGCTATTTGAACTAATGCAATCAAGGCCAGAACTGAAAAATTATCAAATGATTCAAAGTGTAGATTGTGCAAAGAAGCAAAAGAAACAGTAGATCATATACTCAGCTCGTGCAAGAAGATCACACAAATTGATTATAAACGACATAACACAGTTGCCAAAATGATTCACTGGAACATCTGTAAAAATTATCATGTGCCAGTAATGAAAAATTGGGATTCACTGGAACATCTGTAAAAATTATCATGTGCCAGTAATGAAAAATTGGGATTCACTGGAACATCTGTAAAAATTATCATGTGCCAGTAATGAAAAATTGGTGGGAACATATAGTTGAACAGTAGTGGATAATGAGCAGGTTAAAATATTGTGGGATTTCCGAATATAAACTGATAAAGTCTTGGTGCATAACAGCAGATTTAACTGTGATTGAAAAGAAGAAAGTGTGGATAATTGATGTGGCAATACCAAGGAATAGTAGAATAGAAGACAAAGAATTGGAGAAGATCACAAAGTATCAAGTTCTGAAAATTGAAGTTGAAAGATTATGACATAAACTGGCCGTGGTGGTCCCAATGGTTATTGGCACACTAAGTACCATACCAAAAACCCTTGGACAGCACTTAGAAAATCTGCGTATTGACAAAATTTCCATCTGTCAATTACAAAAGGCTACACTGCTTGGATCCACATATACTACACCAATACATTACAACATCCTAGGTTCTTGGGAAGAACTCGATGCAAATGAAGGCCAACACCAGCTAAAGAACTGACAGCTGTGGTTTCACATTGTTGGGTATAAATAATAATAATAATAATAATAATAATAATAATAATAATAATAATAATAATAATAA